TAGCTCATATCATTCTTAATGATGAGACCATTAAGACTGAATGCTTTCTGCCTAAAGTCAGGAACAAGGTGAAGATTTGTGTTCTCACCACTATGTTCAGCATTGTATTAAAGGTCAGTGAAATAAAGGGCATACATATGGGAAAGGAAGAAATAAAACTCTTCATGCCCAGAAGTAGGATTCTAAGTGAGTTCTTTTTTTTTTTTTAAAGATTTTTTTATTTATTCACTTGAGACACAGAGATAGAGAGCATGAGCAGGGAGAGGCAGAGGGAGAGGGAGAAGCAGGCTTCCCGCTGAGCCAGGAGCCCGATGTGGGGCTCGATCCCAGGACCCTGGGATCATGACCTGAGCCGAAGGCAGATGCTTAACCATCTGAGCTACCCAGGCTCCCTAAGTAGTGAATTCTAATAAGTGAATTTAGTGAGGTTAAAGTATTTAAGATCAATACACAAAATCAACTGTATTTCTATATCAGCAATAGCCAATCAAAATGAAATTTATAAAACAGTTCCATTAATAAGAGCATAAAAAGTCAAATAAAGGAAAAATAAATCAAAATAAGGAATAAATTTAACAAAAGATGCAGGACCTACTTAGAGAAAACTGCTAACTGTTGCTAAAAGTATCAGAAATACCTAAATAAATAAGGGTACATGGCATTGCTATGGATTGGAAGGATAATATTGTTAAGAGGGATTTTTCCTACATTTTGTACAGATTTAGTACAGTCCCAATCAAGCTCCCAGAAAGCTTAAAAAAAAATTTTTTTTTTTGGAAATTGACAAGCTTATTCTAGTATATAAGTAGAAATACAAAGGACCTAGAATAAAAAATGTTTTTAAAAAGGAAGAACAGAATTGGAGGACCTGCATTAGCTGATTTAAGACTTTAGTCTATAGTAATCAAGATAGTGTGGTACAGCATAAGGATGGATGTGTATAGATCAAACCTTGAGAGGTAAAAAATAGACCCAAGCCTAAGGGACAATTGATTTTTGACAAAGGTACCAAGATTATATGGGGGAAAGAACAGTTTTCAGTGAATGTTTCTAAAATAACTGGATATCCCTTTCCTCCCATCAAATATAAAAATTAATTAAAAATGGATCACAGATCTAATTGTAGGGCTAAAGCCATTAAATTCTAGAAGAAAATTTTCTGGAAGAAAATCTTTATGGCTCTAGATTAAGCACAGATTTCTTAGGACACAAAAAGCATGAGCCATAGAAGAACTTGCTAAAATGGACTATCAATATTAAAAACTTGGCTTATGGGAAGACACCACTAAGAAAATGAAAAAGACAAGCCACAGTTTGGGGTAAAATATTTGCTACATATTTATCTGACAAAGGACTTATTTCTAGAATTACAAAGAACTCTTATAACTCAGTAAAAAGACTATTTAAAAAAGGGGCAAAAGAACTGAACAGGCAGCTTACAAAATAAGATATACAATTGGCCATTAAGGACTTGAAATGATGCTCAACATCTTGGTCATTTAGTAAATGCAAATTAACATCGACAAACTTTGCTTATAAGACAAAGAGGTAGGAAAAGGAATATGTAAAGTCAAAGAAAGATTTTATTTGTTTTGGGATGGAATTGGCCTGAAAAGTCAAATCTGCATCATTACCCCCAATCTATCACTTTTTTTCTGGTTTCTTATTCTAACTGTATACACACTATATATATTTTTTCAATCCTCCATCAGAACCTTCTCTTCAGTATGTTTTAATGAAAAACGATTTCTGTTTTCTTCCTAAGCCCTAGTCTTTCACACTCATTATTACAATGTCACTATGAGATCAGATGCAAAATTATGAAGTCATTTATTTGTTCATTCTTTCAGCAAACATTTGTCCTTTTGTACTCCTGCTAATTACCTACCTGCATCTAGACAGAAATATCAAGTAGGTGATTGGACATCATGAGAGAGGTTGTGGCTAGAGATGTAAATTTGGCAGTTCTTGATGGATGAATTGTTTTTAAAACCATGTATCTGGATGAGATTGCTTAAGGTGTGATTGAGTAGAAAGAGAAGTCAAAGACTGAGCCCTGAGGTAGTTTAATCTTTGTAAGTCACCTAAGTGAGCTGAGGGTGAGGTGGCTCAGCCAACAAATTGAGTGGAACAGCCAGTGAGAGCAGTGTTTCAGAGGACAAGTCAGGATATTTTAGGGAAAAGGAGAGATATACACTGAACTGCTCTTGATAGGTCAAGTCAGAGGAACATTGAGAAATGATTAATAGATTTGTCATTATGAAGGTCATTGGTGACCTTGACAATATTATTTTCAGTGGATGATAATCTGTTTCAAGTAGATTTAAGAGAAAATGGAAGGAGAAGTAGAGAGAGAAAGAATAGACAGCTGTTTTGAGAACTTAAACTCTTAAGGGAAGTATTGGTCACTGGAAGACAATATGAGTTGTAGACTTATTTTAAAATAAGATGGGAGATTTTATAGCAAGTTTGTAAGCTGATGATGATGATTTAGAAAAGCATGTCTAAGAAAATCGACGGTGTAGTAGAGAGAAGGGAGGGGTGGGATCCAGTGCACAAATGAAGAGGGTTGGCCTTTGCTGAGAGCATAGACTCTTGATTCACCATGACAGAAAGGAAGGCATTGTGGTTAACATAATTCTTGAGCTCTCACTATGTAGAAGGCACTATTTGTGAGAAACAAGCTTAAATAGAGACATAAATGATTTAACCAGGTTCCCGTTTTTTTTTGTATATCACTTTTAGCATTTACTGTTTTATTATACTGTTTTTCATACTGTTTAATACTAGTTACATCAGAATTTGATACTAAAAAAAGGTAGCATTTTTTTAGCGGTAGTTCCATCTGCAAGTCCCATTTCTCCCCATCAATTACAATTAGATTGTAAGCTCCTTGTGGATAATTGCTTTCATTTACAGTGAAGTGCTCCTGAGCCATACTGAACAACTCCCAAGATGATCCTTGACAGTAATGTATGCTGAAGATATACTGTACTCTCTATATAATGAGATCTTCATGTTGACTTATCATGGGAAGAATTATTGGAGACATGTAAGAGTGGTGTGTCTTTAGTAGCACATTTTTTATTGTCTATTTTACTCTTCAAATAATATTTTCTATGTACAAAATTGAAAAATTTTCAAGTTAAGGTATGTTGTCATGAAATATTAAAAACTTGTATTTTTGTGTATTAAATTTGAGTTAAATGTTAATGACTAAAAATTTGGAAGGTACAGTTTATTTTTGAAGTCTTCTGTGTGATCTGTGGAAAATTCTTAATTTTTACCTTGACTTCATTTTTCTCCTTTCTGTATTCAGTTGTACTTCTTTTTCTACCATAATGGAGGACAAAGTGACATTAGAATCCAAAAAATTGAGTTTCTTTTTTTTCTTTAAATTTTTTATTGTTATGTTAATCACCATACATTACATCATTAGTTTTTGATGTAGTGTTCCATGATTCATTGTTTGTGCATAACACCCAGTGCTCTACGCAGAACGTGCCCTCTTTAATACCCATCACCAGCTGATCTATCCCCCCACACCCCTCCCCTCTAGAACCCTCAGTTTGTTTTTCAGAGTCCATCGTCTCTCATGGTTCGTCTCCCCCTCCGATTTACCCCCCTTCATTCTTCCCCTCCTGCTATCTTCTTTTTTTTTTTCTTAACATATATTGCATTATTTGTTTCAGAGGTACAGATCTGTGATTCAACAGTCTTGCACAATCCACAGCACTCACCATAGCACATACCCTCCCCAATGTCTATCACCCAGCCACCCCATCCCTCCCCCCCCCCCCCACTCCAGCAACCCTCAGTTTGTTTCCTGAGATTAAGAATTCCTCATATCAGTGAGGTCATATGATACGTGTCTTTCTCTGATTGACTTATTTCGTTCAGCATAATACCCTCCAGTTCCATCCACGTCGTTGCAAATGGCAAGATTTCATTCCTTTTGATGGCTGCATAATATTCCATTGTGTATATATACCACACCTTCTTTATCCATTCATCTGTCGATGGACATCTTGGCTCTTTCCACAGTTTGGCTATTGTGGACCAAAAAATTGAGTTTCAATTCTTAACTCTTTTTTCATGCCAGCTTCTGTAGCCATTTATGCAGTAATGAACTGCCTCTATACTATCAGTCACTGTGATTATTATTTCTACTGCTAAATCTTGTGACTTCTAGTTCCTTTCCCTTTTTTATGGTAAGGCAGGTCAGGTGAGTTTCACATGAAAGTAGGTAAAAACTTCCTAAAAGATTTCAAGACTGTACTGTTTGCTTTTATCACAGAAAATATTATAGATTTAATTTGTCCTTAAGTTTCTAAAGGTTGATAAGCATCATCCTTGCATATACTTACTTATTGGTTATCTATTAGTGTGCAACAATATTACCACAAATTTAGTGGCTTAAAACAACACACATTTACTATCTCATAGTTTCTGTATATTAGGAATGTGTGTACACCTAAGCTGGGTCCTCTACTTCATTGTCTCATAAAGCTTCAATCAAGGCATCAGTCAGGGCTGTGATTTCATCTGAGACTTGACTGGGGAAAGATCCACTTCTGGACTCATGTGGCTTTGGGGCAGGATTCAGTTCCTTGCAGGCTGCTAGGTTGAGGGCATCAGTTTCTTGTCTTGGGGCCCTTTTCCTATGTCAACTTAAAACATTGCAGCTGCTTCTTCAAAACCAGTAAAGAAGAGAGTCTCCTCCAAGATGGGCATTACAGTTTTACGTAATGTAATCACGTGCATGTAAACATCCTGTCTCTTGGTTAGAAGCAACTTGCAGCTCCCATCCACATTCAAGAGGAGGGGGTCACAAAAGGGCATGAAAGCAGGAAATGGGCATCACAGAGGCCACTCTAGAAAGTCTGTCTGCTACAACTTGTTTGCTATATCTTAATACAGGATGAATGTTTCTCTTATTCAGTAATTTTTGTTACTTATTTATATGTAGTGATAACTGGATTTTTAATTTTTCTAACCAGATTCCATTGGCCGTGACATCCCCAAAATGCTTGAATTATTTAAAACTGGACATGAAATTGAGGTAGATGAAGAAAGGGAGAACTTTCTCCAGACCAAAATAGCAACAGTAAGTTACAATGGAAATTGTTATTAAATAACCATCTTTTTTTTTTTTTTCCTTGAGTGACTGGTAATTTATAATATGCCAGTCCTTTGAACTTGTTCTTGGCACTAACATCAGGAGTAGCACTAAATATACAGAGAGATAATTTCTTTTTATTCTGTAGATTGAACTCATAAATTTTAATGGTATTTGAGAATTCCTTCATGTGCCACTCAGTGATACTGTATTTTGTCTTATTTGATTGTTCTATGTATGTATTTTTTGCTCTCTAATATTCTAAGTTTATTGAGAGTAGGGATAGATCTTGTACATCCGCTGTGGAACATTGCATAATGCTGAGTGCATAGTAGGTATTTAATGCTACTATAATGGAATTGAGTAATTTGCTTTGTTTTTATGAATTGTTTTGATTATCCCTGCTTGGGTTTTAAAAACTGCCTACTTATAGAAGATGCTGGAAATCAACTCTCAAAGCTATTTTTTGGACTCTGATATAGATATGTCAGGTTTATAGGACTATGTTTTTAGATATATAGTTATTTGCTAATATCTTCTTTATGCTGAGGAATCTCTAAAATACTTTTTACTGTTCAGTAACCATAGGAATAATAGTGATATGTATAATAAAATTTAAACAGTGCCTAGCAAGTGCCAGGCACTATTGTAAACACTCTTCATTTCATATATTCTCTCTCTTAATCTTCAACACTATGAGAGGACAAATTATCATCCCCATTTTATGGATGAAGGCCAAAGAGGTTAAATAATCTTTCCAAGGTCTCACAGCTACTATGAGGCAGAATAGGTATTTGAACGTTGGCGGTCTTTTCAAGAGTCCAGGCTCTTTGTCCAAAACCATCTTGCCTCAGGCCTGGAATTACTTGAATAGCTGTAATTCCTCTTCCCATTCTGCTCTTAGAGGAATTCTGCATTATAGCCCACAGCCTGTAGTCCAGGCTAATTGAGCTATGCCTACTATAGATCATCAGAAGTAGAGAAAAGGTACTTAGCTAGTTTTATGGAAGGAAAACTTGCTTTAGAAAGAGGGCAAAACAATGTAATCCAGTCAGGGTTTGGGAAAGCCCTCATTGCTGTCATTACATCAGAGCTCGGTACCAATTGTGTGGCATTGTGTTCTGCTAAAATCTGATGTTGCACTTTCCTTATTTCCAAAAGGCCCTTGGCAGTGCTTCTTGTTTGTTAGGGATGATAACATTGTAATGTAAAAAAACAAAAAAAATGGAAATTTTAAGAAAATATTATAAAGCTATAAGAGTCTTAGGTTTGAATACCTGTTCTGCTGCTTATGGGATGGCAGACTTTAAACAAGTTTCTTAATGTTGTGTCTCCAATTCCTGAGCTATCGAATTTACGTAGTAATATTTATTTCACAATGTGGTTTTGAAGATTAAATAAAAATTTGAAATGGTAGCAGCAGTTGTTAGTGTTTTTTGTTTTTAGAGATTCATTTTATTTTATTTTAGAGAGAGGGGGAGGGGCAGAGGGAGAGACTCTTCAAGAAGATTCCCCACTGAGTGGGGAGCCCAACACAGGGCTTGATCCCACAGCCCATGAGATCATGACCTGAGCCAAAACCAAGTCAGATGCTCAACTGACTGAACCACCCAGGTGCCCCATTGTTACTGTTTTAGTTGGACTTTTGGGACTACAGGACATCTTTATAAGACTATTTCTTTTCAGCTGGATCTTTTCTTTTGGTTAAGTAATATTTTCCATATATTCAGTAGTTAATAGTTTATATGGATCCTGACTCTGTATAAGAAACTGTGGCATCTCATTTATTCTTCTCAACAAATACCATAGTTCTTAAGTGATTACATGAGCTCCAGGTCAGACTACTTGTATCATTTAGAGGTAGAATGTTTTTTCTTAATGAAAAATAAATTAATTTCTGTGTTTAAGAGAATCTTTTTGAATACTACTTAAATATTATGGTATTATATAGTATAGCAGATTAAGAGAGTGGATTTTAGATTTATACTCTCTGGATTCATATCCTAGTTCCAGATTGGAATTGTGTTCCCTTGCTCTCTGAGCCTCAGTTTTCCCCCATTCCCCATTTCCCTTAAATGCAAAATGAAGTTAATAATGATGCATATTTTCTAGGCTAGGAAGGAGTAGTTGAAATAATGACTATAAAGCAGACTTCTACTTCTGGCTAACGTGGAGTAATAGGGACCTGATTTACTCTTTCACCTAAGATAATCAGCATTACCTTGATACCAAAATCAGGCAAAGAAAGATACAGTCCAGTATCATTTATGAAAAATAGATGTTAAAATTATAAACTAAATTTTAGCCAGTGGAATCCAGCAATATATATGAAAAAAGGATAACATGTCATCACCAAGTAGGGTTTATCCTAGGAATACTAAATTAATTTAACATTCAATGATCAATCGTTAAATTTCACCATATTAACAAACTAAATCAAAAGCTGTCTGATTATCTTAGTAGATACAGAGAAAGCATTTGACAGAATCCAACATTCATTCCTGATTAAAAAGTCTCAGCAAAGTAGGAATAGAAGTTAATGTCCTTAACCTGATAAAAGGCATCTAAGAAAAACCAACAGCTAACGTCATACTTAGAGGTAAAGACTGAATACTTTCTTTCTAAGACCAGGAGCAAGTTAAGGATATCCACTTTCACCACTTCTGTTCAGCATTGATCTAGGGATTCTAGGCAGTGCAATCAGGCAAAAAAACAAGGCATCCTGATTAGAAAGGAAAAAGTAAGATAGTGATTATTCACAGATGATATAATCTAACTACTAAAACAAAGAAGTAAGTTAAGGTTGCAGGATACAAATATACAAAAATTAGTTTTGCTTCTATATAACAGCAACAATTAGAAATTAAATTTTTTAAAAAGTTAAAATTTAAAAATAATAATTTATAGTAATATCAAAAATAAGAAATACTTAGAGATAAATCTGACAAAAGATGTGAAAGATCCATACACTGAAAATTTCAAGACACAGTTGAGGGAAATTAAAGATCTAATAATTGATGAGGTGTACCATATTTATAGGTCAGTAAATCCAATATTGTTAAGATGTCAGTTGTCCCCAAAGTGATGTATAGATTTAGCACATTCTTGATCAAAATCCCATTTAGCCTTTTTTTTTTGTAGAAATTGGCAAGCTGATTCTGAAATTCATATGGAAATACAAATGTTCTAGAATAACTAAAACAACTTCAACAAATAGCAAAGTTAGAAGTCTACCTGATTTCAAGATTTATAAAGCTACAGTATTTAAGACACTGTGGTATTGACATCAAAAAAGACAAAATGATAATGGAATAAAATAGAGTCCTAAAAATCAAAACAAAATGTATGTGGACAACTGATTTAAAACATGTTGCAAAGTCATTTTTTTTTTT